GAGGTGAGTGGAGCCAATGCAGGAGTCTCCCTGGGTGTGCCCACTGCCATCTCCTCCAGCCTGGAGCAGGCCAGAGCCCTGCCCTTGGGTCCTTGCCCTTGAGATTAGCTAGCACTTTTTTTTTTTTTTTTTTTTTTTAAGGAAATCCGGTCTTGATCCCTCCGTGCATGGGGGTCTGGCTGTCTCTTTTAATTCAGCAACAAATCTCTCTTAGCCCCAGCTGCGTGCACAGCCCTGTCCTGAGTCCTGGGGATTCCGTGACCGATAAGAGTCCCTGCCCTCGAGCTGGCCAGGGGCAGACATGACACATATCTGGGAGAGGGGTTTCAAGTCTGCCTGTGATCAGGTGTGCCTGCAAATGGTCGCCGCCTGACTCTTCAAGGCGGGGTCTCAGGCTGCTGCTGACCACCCCACCCTAGGCCTGGTGGAAACAAGGTCGGGCTAAGTAGGACCTCTTATTGGGAAAAGTATCATTTCAGCAAGCCTACCTTTCTCTCTCTCTCTCTCTCTCTCTGCCTCTCTCTTGTCCTGATTGGAATTGTAAGTTACTTTAAAAAAAAAAAGGAAAAAATGCAGTCAATAATTATTACCTAATAAATTTGGTTGGCCTGGCAGGAATTATCTTTCCCATCATGGTCCCCAGAGGAGGAAATTCAAAGAGGGAGGGGGGAGGCTGATGGTGAATGCGGGACCAGTGCTTCGATGGGTCTATGCTGCCCTCTGCTGGGCACCGACGGTATGACAGCCAAGACAAGGCAAGGCCTCCAAGCGGTGATGGATGCAGTGCTGGCGCCTGGTCATCACAGATGCAGGATTTTGCAGTCACTGGGGACACTCAGAGCTTAGCTAGACGAGCAGATTTCCCCTTGAGTCTCCTCCATATTTCTCCTCGTTACTCCATAGGTGCCTCTTTAAAGGAATAAAAATATTACATGTATACAGTTGAGGAAAACAAGGCACACACATCTGTGCAAAGACCATCTGGTCTCTCACCACCCTGTCTTTCTGGGACAACCACTCTTAACAGTGTTCATGTATCTTTCCAGATTTTGAAAGAGAGAGCGAGCCCATCTGCTGGTGCACTCCTGAAATGTGTGCAACAGTAGGGTTGGGGCCAAAGCTGGGAGCCAAGAACTCGTCGGGGTCCCCCAGGTGGGTGCAGGAACCCAAGTACTTGAGCTATCATAGGAAGCTGGAGTCAGGACCGGAATCAGGAACCGAGAGGCCGGCGCTGCGGAGCTGTGGGTTAAGCCTCCATTTACTTAATTTTAATTAATTTCAGTATAGGTAACCTTATGTGAAGAAGTCAACAAACCACAACGGAAAATTGTGCAGCTGTAAAAATAGAAGCGGGAGTTCCAGAAAAAAGAAATGGAAAGATCTCTAGGATATGTTTCAAGACAAAATGCAGAGCAGGGAGAAGACACTTCGCCCCAGCAGTTAGGGCACCCACTCGCACACAGCGCCTGTGTCTTAGCCCCAGCTCTGGCTCCAACCCCAGCTTCCCACCAGTGCAGACCAGGAAAGGCCGTGATGGTGACTTGAGTGACTGGGTTCCTGCCACTCAGTGCGAGACCCGGAGAACTGAGAGCTCCTGGCTCCTGACTCTGAGCCTGCCCCGGCCGAGCCTGAGTCACTTCGAAATCGCATTATGAAACCACTGTGGGCTTTGGGGGGAATGAAACGCAAGTGGCAGCTCTTTCTGTCTCTCTGCCTCTCAAATAAAACATTAAACACATACTCGTAAATGTGGCCCAGAACACACACATACAGTGCGTTGTCTTGGCTCTACAAAAGGGACATGGGAATAGAATAAATGTTGGTCAGCGCCGCAGCTCAGTAGGCTAATCCTCCACCTGCAGCGCTGGCACACCGGGTTCTAGTCCCAGTCAGGGCGCCGGATTCTGTCCCGGTTGCTCCTCTTCCAGTCCAGCCCTCTGCTATGGCCCGGAAGTGCAGTGGAGGATGGCCCAAGTGCTTGGACCCTGCACCCGCATCGGAGACCAGGAGGAAGCACCTGGCTCCTGGCTTCAGATCAGCGCAGTGCACCGGCTGCAGTGCGCCGGCCACAGCGGCCATTGAGGGGTGAACCAATGGCAAAGGAAGACCTTTCTCTCTGTCTCTCTCTCTCACTGTCCACTCTGCCTGTCAAAAAAAAAAAAATCAAATCAAAGAGAGAGAGAGAGAAAAAAAAAAAAAAAAGAAAGGGAGGGAAGGAGAAAGAAAACAGCCATGGCTGGATAAAGAAACTATGGGATATGTACTCTATGGAACACTATACAGCAGTAAAAAACAATGAAATCCGGACATTTACAACAAAATGGAAGAAGCTGGAAAACATCATGCTGAGTGAAATCAGCCAGTCCAAAAGGGACAAATATCACATGTTCTCCTTGATTGATGGCAACTAAACGAGCATCTAAAATGATACCCATTGAAGTGAAATGGACACTATGAGAGACAACGACATGACCAGCCCTTGTCTAGACTGTTGAGGAACAACTTACTATTTTATTCCTTTTAGTATTTTTGTTGTTGTTGTTGTTGCTCTGTTTGTTCTACATAAGACCACTGGTTGAACTCTGTAATCAATGCACAATCATTCTTAGGTGTTTAAAATTAACAGAAAAGTGATCTCTGTTAAACACAGGAGTGGGAATAAGAGAGGGAGGAGATATATAGGTCGGCACATGCTCACTCGGACTTACCTCCAATGGTGGAACTAGAAATGTGCCAGGGGATTTCAGCTCAATCTTACCAAGGAGGCAGGTACCAATGCCAGCACACTTGGTAAAGTGATAAGTATAAATACACAACCGATCAAAAAGATAGGGTAAGTGTCGAAGAGATTTCACAAATAAGACCAGTGTAAGCAAACAATGAAGGATAGAATTAAAAGGGAGAGAATGATCCTGCGGGGGAAGCAGGACACACAGCAGACTCATAGAATGGCAGCACTCCTGCCTCAGAATCAACCCTTGGAACATTCGGATCTGGCTAAAAGGTCCGTGAGAGTCTCACAGGCATGGGAAGCCATAACACAGTGGCAAAAAAAAAAAAAAAAAAATCTAAATGAAAGATCCTGGTGAACAACACTCCAGCAGAAGGAACAGGCCATCAAGGAGGGAGGCGCCTTTCTCTGAAGGGAGGAAGGAACCCCCACTGTGATACGGACTTGACTAAACAAGTTCAGAGTCGATGAACTCAAGGGGCTTCCATAGCCTAGACAGCTCATAGCAAGAGTCTCGGGTGATTGCTGATGTCATAAATAAGAGTGCCAATTGTTAAATCAACAACGGGAGTCACTGAGTACAGGCTCCCCACGTAGGATCTCTGTCCTTAATGTGTTTTACTATGAAACTTTAAAACAACACTACTAGT